TAGTTTGCTGATAAGAAGAATAGTATTGATGAAAAGATGTGTCAGTACCAGGCTGACTTTCTGTGGAGAGCATTTTCATATGGCCTTTTAAGATGGTGATTGCCCACTCTGTAGAGGACCTTCTGGGAATAAATTGATGAATAGGTGTGTGCAGGAGGATGCCGTTTTTAGGCTATAAGCTAGATAGAGACCAAATGAGTTGGAATTGAAATAGCACTTCACACTCAGACCCAAAAGGGACCACCAGTATAATTTGATAGCTGCCTCCCAGAGCCATTCCCCATTTGTCATCTAGCAGAAGTATTTTCAACTCAATGAAGTTTTCAGACTGAGATGAAAGGCATTGCAGTATTCAAATTGGATACATATGAATAGAGAGCCAGTGTGGCATAGAGGTCTGGGCATTTGATTACGATTTGAGAGCAGGATTCAATTCCTTGCTTGACCATGGAAACCCACTGGGTGACCTTGTGAGTCACACACACTCAGCCCCAGAAAACTCCATCATCAGAAAACACCTTAGGGTCATCAAAAGTTAGAAAGGACTTGAAGGCACACAACAACAACATGTGTGAATAGGTTTGTCTACTTCTGTCCAGAAGATGACAGCTTATACACCAGCCTCAACTTCTGAAAGGTGCCACTTCCATGGAAGCCACAGAAGGCACCAACCCAGCCATCCCACCCCCAGGGTGAGCCTGGTCCTTCGGGAGCATTTCTAATTCCTATCAAAATGAATGCTGAATACTACTGCCTATACCAACCTCACCCCTACCTTGTCTGTGTTGTCCCAACTGAGCTTTATTTATTTTCCCATCTGCCAGTCCATTTGTGTCCCTGGGTGCTTTAAACTCAGTCAGACGAAAACTAGAAGTAGAGCTGAGCGTCAGCATATTGAAGGCAAGGCGATGTACCTAAGTCCATAGAGGATTTAACTCTGTCTTAACTGGAGCTGCTAAGCTGCATAGGGTTAAGATGAAACTTGGAACCACATAACCTGAAGCAATCTGTCTGGAACAACCTCCAGCAGCAAAGGAACTATCTCAGTACCTTTAATATGTCCACTTTATTCAGGATTCTGTGGTCAGTGGTATTAAAAGTTGTAGAAGAATCCAAGAGAAATGTCACCATGACATTGCTCCCAAGAATGCAGGAAGCCAACACTGTTTCTGTGCCAAAATGGGTCTGAAACCAAGCTGGAGTAGATCCAAGCCAGCAATCTGTGCCCAGGGAGCTTTGCAGTAGTGCTCTTGAGAGTCAGTAAAGATTTCTTTAGTAGCAGTCTGCCCAGTGCTTACCATATATGCTTTGGGTTTTAGGGCCCAAATTAGGGATTTTGATACGATCCATGAGAGTAAAATTTAGGGGCATGGGGCATGTAACAAAAGATGTAAAGGAAGAAGCAAAGGAAAACAATGCAAAAGAACTTACAAAATTCCAGTAGACATACTGTTTGTGCTCATACTAAAGGTTGAATAGATAAAAGAGTAGAGGGAGGTCCCTTTTTTTGATAAGAGGTACAGTACTTACATTGGTCCATGGATAGGTTGACTCAGGTTTTGAAGGTCAATTTTTTGACTAAAATTTCTAGACTTATACATGAGTATAAACAATACTTTAAAGGGGCCAGGGCTCCATCTGTCTTCAAGATGCATTCACCTCATAGAACCAGTAAGTCATAATTCCTGATCCCAGAGTATGTGACAAAGGGGAGAGCTGTGATGGTATTCCTCCTTTCACTGTGTTGGGATGAGTTCGTTGCCCAGTCTGAAATCAGCTACAAGAACAAGGAAGAACTTTCTTCCTCATGGGTCTTTCTTACATGGGGCAGATGAGTGGTTCCTGGCACTTATTAGTGACAAAGGGGCAAGAGAAGGGTGCCCTGTAGATGGTAAGCTGTTTTTCCTCTACTGCCTGGCCAGAGTATACCAGCTGTCATTGCTCTACTGAGTTGGGATGGTAGATTATTGGGATGGAGGTGGAACAGTTCTATTATTTATACATTGAAACATGTACCTGAATTATTCTGTTCTTTTTGTCCTCGCTAAATGCTCCTGCAAAATGATCATAACTAACAGGTGTCAGTTTATAGAGAAATCACTCAACCTGAGTATGTCAGAAATTTCCATGGTTTGTAGATGACTACAGGCCTAAGCAGACTGCCAGAAATAGTGCACATTAAATTGAGGCACTGCCCTGGCTCAGTGCTAGGGAGTCATGGGAATTGTATTTTTTTCTGAGACATTGAGCCTTCTCTGTCAGAGAGCTCTGGTGCCACAATAATTTACAGGCCCTAAGAAATCATATTGTGAATCCAAACAGCTGCCTAAATACCCTAAAGGCACCAGATTCTGTCTTGATTTTGAAAGCTAAGCAGGGTCAGCCCTGGTTAGTACTTCAATGTGATAATGCTAATGAATACCAGGTGCTGTAGGCTATATTTCAGAGGAAAGAACTGGCAAAATCACCTGTTAGTGTTCCTTGCCTTAAAAAGCCCTAGGGTTGGCATAGGTTGACAGGTGGCTTCAAGGCACATACATACATACTCATTCAGATAGTGCTCTTCAGATGTTAGTTCATGCACTCTGTAAAGACTTGCCCAAGTCTACTGTAGTGGGGAAAAGAGCAAGAGAAATATAGCTGGGATGCTTCCAGATGGATGGCTCCTAGGTTATGAATCAGAAGATGTCATGCAATTATTCTGTCTTTCCCTCTTTAACTTATTTTGTTGTTGTTACTGTTTAAAGAAGAAAAAGGATGACACTGAATAAAAGTACAAGGGGGTTATCAGTAGAGCCAACCACAAGAATTCAACTAGTGCAAACTGGAAAAGAACTATTCAATCCACTGCCAAACGGCACATAGGTAAATCTAATTGATTCATTAATAATAATAACAATAAAAATTTATTTATAGCCCACCCCTCTGCGGAGCAATCGAGGCGGGTTACAGCATTATAAAATATACAGCTTAAAAACATTCCTATTAAGTCTACTCTGGTCAAGACTAGAGATAGGATTTAGGCCCAAATGTTCCATAAATTAGTCAAAGGAACTGAGCAATAAAATATTCCTCTCAAAGCAACCCCCATATTGCCAAATACATGAGGAATAGCCAAATAACATAATGGCAAAATGGTGGAACTATTGGATCAGACCAAAACTTCTCTTTTTTTTTTTTTCTGCCAGTCTGATTTCTGTGAAATCTGAGAGCAGGGCATGAAGCCCTTGCTCTATTCATCCCCTAGCAGCTAGAGTAGGAGTGGGAGAACTTTAGTTTACCAGACATTTCAAACTTCAGCTCTTTGAGTTCCCAGGTAGCCAGCCAGTAATAAGAGATGAGAACTGTGGTCCAGGACATCTTGAAGGCTAAATTTCCCACTCCTGAAATAGATGTTGAGGTAGAATTTCTACCACTGCCCCAGACTTGAGTTGATGAATTGCATTGAGCTATATATGCCTCACAACTCAAAAACCTACTTTCATGATTAGTCACTCCCAGTTCAGATTCTACTACAGGAAACGGGATGTTAAGCTAGTTCCCCTAACAGATGTATGCTATGTAGCACTTACGTATTCAAGCATCCACGGTTTGAAAATATTTTTAAAATGTATACGTTCCAAAAAGCAAACCTTCATTTTGCCATTCTATATAAGGGACACCATTTTACTATGCCATTGTATTTAATGGGACTTGAGCATCCACAGATTTTGTTCTCCACGAGGGGTCTTGGACCCAAACCCCAGCGGATACCAAGGGCCCACTGTAATACGCTGTATCAAAAATTCAGAGTATTTGGGGAAGTATAAATGGAGAAAGAAGTGAGGGAAGAAGAGTGAGTGACCTGCAGAGCTACACTCTCTCCCTAGGCGTTTCTGCCACTGCTCAGGTGCCTTCATGTGCCAGCCAGATAGATAGATTTTCTGTAGAAAATCAGAGAAAGTTCAAAAGAGCTGTTTGCATTCTCTTACTGTTCCCTGTCCCTCCCATTCCTGGACTTTGAGGAAGTAGAGGTAGCGTTGGCGAGGGCACCTTTTGATCGAAGCAGAAGTCTGATGTGTGCAAAGGTTGAGGTGTTGGTAAGCGTTCAGATAACACCTTATATTTTCTCACAGTAGCCGTCTCTTCTTGCAACCCTTTATTTCTCCACATCGCCTAGCGCTTGCCTCCCATAAAAGAATTTGGGGCAAGTTATGCAGAAGGACACCTGTTTTCATGGCTGCCTTTCTCATGTAAGTTTGGTCTGAGTAACCACGGGAGGCATTGTGGACTCCAAACATGCTTTGTGCCAATTGCTTTTCTTCTGTGCAGGGCTGGACAAATATAGAGGGTGAGGTACTGTGGAACTGGTTTGAATCTGCCTTTCCCAGGCCCTCCCTTTTCAAGCTGTCCTGAACATAACATAATAAGGCACCCATGAATTGGGCGCCAAATGGAAAGTCTGAGAATTATTGTAGCCTCCTGTTCTAAGGGATAGTCTGGCTGTTTAATGGCTTTCAATCTGTCACTAGCTTTTATGTTCCTAATCCATTTATAGGGGCAGTGTTAATGTTTCCAAGGTTTAAAGAACTGTGTTTTCTTCATTTCCCTTCCATACATTTGTCTCTGGTTTATTTTTTATAATTAACCAAATTGCAGGAACATAAAACTCAATGTTAGCCCCAAAAGTCACCTTCCTGACGGTCATTTTCTGAAGCTCCTTATTTTTCTCCCCAAAAAGCTGGCCTCACTTGTTTAAAATCCTGACTCTGCATTGCATGTCTATATGCTATTGTTTGTTGTTGCTGATATATTTAAATTATTATAATTAGTGTAAAGTACTTAACATATCTGAAGTGGACTGTTGTTGTGTGCCTTCAAGTCATTTCCAGATTATGGCAACCCTAAGACAAACCTATCATGGGGTTTTCTAGGCAAGATCTGTTCAGAGGGTGTTTGCCTTTGCCTTCCTTTGGGGCTGAGAGAGTGTGCCTTGCCCAAGATCACTCAGTGAGTTTCCATGGCAGAGCAGAGATTCGAACCCTGGTTTCCAGAGTCATCAAGCAATTCTCAAACCACTACACCACTCTGTCTCTGAAATGGACCATTCGTTAATCCATTAAAAAGGATGACTTTAGTCCAAAGCACACTGCATAAATAATCCAGTTTGAGACCACTTTGACTGGCCTGGCTCAATGCTAGGGAATTCTGGGAACTATAGTTTTGTGGAGACATTTAGCTTTCTCTGTCAGAGAGCTCTGGCGCCACAATAAACTACAACTCCTAGGATTCCCTAGCACTTAACCAGGACAGTTAAAGCTGTCTCAAACTAGATGATTTCTGCAGTGTGTTTTGGACCTTTGTTAGTCTTTAAGGTGCTGCGTAACTCTTTGGACTAAATCAAATTGCTAGTCTTAAGGGTAGCATCATTGAACAAAAATTTCCCAGAAAAGCATCACAGTTTCCCGATGGATGCATTAAAGCTGGGGCTAATAATTTGTTTTTTCTGCAGCAGATTCACAGAGATACCCTTCTGGGAGCTGAGAAAAGAAACACCAAACTTACATTTTTAAATTCCTTCCTAACCAGAGATATTTGTCAGGCGCCTATATTTTATTATCTTTATTAGACATCATTATTCTCCTAGGCATTTGAAAGAACATTTTTGAAACAATATGACTGAATAGGAAGCTGTGTTTTAAATTCATCAGATGAGTAATTCATTCCATTCTTTCTGTTGGTTTTGAAGGTGTGGTGAATTTGGAGAGTGCTTTTGTTTTAATTGTGTTTTTGAAGTATTTCAATTACGTATTGTATTTTGTTGCATTTTCTTATTGTGAAGCACCATAAGAGGTACTTGTATAAAGCACAGTTTTCAACCACCATGAATAAATCAGTTTTAAGAGCCACCATAGTGTAATGTTGTTGGACTAGGACTCTGAGTGATGAAGGTTCAAATCCTCGCTCAGCCATGGAAGCCCACTGGGTGACTTTGGGCAAGTCACACTCTCAAGGCCTCAGAGGAAGGCAAGGGCAAATCCTCTCAACAAATCTTGCCATGAAAACCCCAAGAAAGGGGTGCTTTAGGGTTGCCATACATTGGAAACAACTCCAAAGCACACAATGATAACAAAACCTCATTTATGCATCCCTTCTCAAATGGGAATGTCACTGGGTTATTCATAGGTTACTTCAGACTCCCTACACATGTGATAACATTTCAGTCAAAAAGTATTTGAACTAGTCATCTTGTTTTGCACAGGACAGTAAACTCATCCTTCCGTGTTGTCTTTTAAAGTATAAAGTTTCCACATCAACAACTAGTGTGCATGTTACACTCCTTCAGTATGTAGTAGTTGTAAGCTGAGTAGTTGTCAACACTAATTGTGTTGGATGGTGGGACTCATACTTTTGCTTATTACATTGGTATTAGCACAAGTAAAAAGTCATAACACAATATTGAATGCCATGAAAGGATTCTTTCCTCATGGTATTGGCTTATGACAGGTGCCTGCCACAATGTAATGAGATTCAGGAGCAGAAGTGGGCAAAGAATGGCACATGGGCCCCCCAAGGCAATTTTTGTGGCTCCCTTGACCTTCCAGGCATAAAAGAATTGCATTTTATTCCCAATCCAAAATGTTCCACCAATACATGGGGGGAGGCATTTTCTGTCAATAGTTTAATTCCATTGTAATGATCAATTTCTATATGTTTTTAGCTGTACTGTTTTTAAATTGTAGAGAGATCTTGTAGCACCTTTGAGACTAATTGAAAGAAAGAAATTGGCAGCATGAGCTTTCACAGACTTCAGCCTACTTCCTCAGATGCACTTAGATGTTTTTAAATTGTAAGCTGTTTGGAGTCACAATTTTAGGAGAAAGTCAAGGTAATGATGATGCCAATGACAACAACAATAAAACAGTAAAAAATGTAGATCCTTTCAGCCTATTCCACTCTCTCATCTTCTTGTTAGCAGAGCTAATTCAAAAAGATTACACATATGAAATAGATCTCATTAGTTTCCATGCACCTCAGTGAAATGTAGGGTACACTTACTGTAATAATCTTGTAACTCTTAAAAGCATAATAGTAAATCAATAAATATTGCAATGATGTAGCCCATTAATAACACTTTGTATTTTACAGGGGAAAGGCTACCCTGATTTAATAAAATCACACGCCATTATCTGAGGGGACTCAGGTAAAGAAAAAGGAACATGTAGTAATAGGCCCATCATTATTATTAGACAGATACCCACTTCAGGCAGCTCATTTTTGAGGCTGTGAAATCACAGAAAATTTTTATTGAATGTGTAGGGGTAGTATATTTACTGCTAGGGGAGAGATGCTTGTATATTTTTCTTTCTCCAATGCCAAAACAGCCAGGCTGATGCTGGATACAACACACCTTGACTTTGTGGGTGGGACACCTTTTGGTACTTGGCCTAAGGCAGATTAATATCTTGTCCTTCTCATATTAGGGATCTTGATAGAGTTATCAAAAATGCAAGAATCCTGTGTTTTAATGTATGAGCAATTTAGTGTATTCCTGTGGATGAGAGTGTTTTCATATATTTTCTGTATCCACTCACAAAATAAATCAAAGTTCTAGAAACTTGTTACTTCTCTTCTGGCTCCCCAGTCAGAGAGTGTTCAGAGAAAGATAAAGAAATGGAATGAAGACTTGGTTTTCTGTAGCATAATGATTCTGACTAGAAGAGAAAGGTTTAGTGTAGTCTTTTGTTATACACTGAGAAAGTGAATAATTTTCACTCTTTCAGAAGGTGGGGAATCCATTGTTCATTGCTCAAAGCTTGGGAAAGTGTTTTTTTGTGGGGGGTTTTTGGATGACAACTCACACACTCCACCACCCAGCATGTAGTTCTAAAAGTAACTTTTACAAGGTTTGCCATTACTTGGTTCTCCTCACGGTTTGTAACATGCCTTTGTTTCCTCAAAGGATCATCCAAGGTCAAAATTTTCAGAATTATAAATAAGGCCAAATAAAACATTTTAAATGTTTTGCAATCTAAATCAGTATGTTTTGCCGGTTCACAGTCTGAAATGATTGATCATAAATGAAATGAGAAGGTGTATGTTCTGTCATGGCAAACTCATTTTATGAATAAATCATACAATGAGTGTTCATATGAATCACATCACACATTTAGCGAGCACATGATGGAGGACTGGGGTCATGCCCAGTAGCCATGCCCCAGTATTTCTGCCAGTGCCAGAGTGGTGCATTCAGGGCAAGTAAGAAAGGTGCCTAGTAATTAAAATTTCACTATCTTGGATATGAGTTTACCTTACTTTGAGTTTAGAGTACACCTCCCCAACCAACCCAAACCAGTTTTGTGGGCTGATCATTTCCTGCAGCTGTTCTTGTAACTATAACAACCTTTATCCAAAAACCAAAATTGAAGTCTGTTCATGTTTATTTGGTTGATGGTCATCTTCTCTAGACGTTGATGTTTTTAACATGAGTCATCATGTTTGCCTCACACCCAGCATTTTGTGAATGGAAATAAGGGATGAGAACCATAAAGCCTCACAGATATTGTTGGACTGCAGTTCTCAGCATTCTGTATCAAGGACTACACTGGCTACAGTTACATGCTCATTACAGATGGTCCATACAAAATCCATATAGATTACATAATAGGTAACAGAAGATGGAGAAGCTCCTTTCTTGTAGCAAAAACAAGACCAAGATTAGAACTTTACTCTGCTTCTTGGCATCAGTCCACCCAAGTAGACCATGCTAGTTGCCATCGCAGCAGATAGACTCATGTCTATCTAAAGCAGCCTTTCTCAACCTTTTTACTTACAGGAATACTTGAAATAATTTGTCAGGTCTCACAGAACTCCTGCACAAAAATTAATTTTTAAATCACAATTTCTCATACAACCCCAGCACCCTTTTGCAGGATTCCAGGAACCCCTGGCTGAGAGAGATTCATTGCTATGTAAGTTACAAATGTTTGGAAGTCAGTCTGGTGGGACCATGGCTAGCATCAAATATAGGATTTAGAGCATCCTTTATCAGTCCTATATGGTACCAGGCTGTAGGACCCCCAAAATAGTATGTCCAGGGGCATCACTAGGGGGTGCAGATCACACTGGGTGAAATCTCAGAGGTGGTTGCTTGTTGTCTGTCTCAAAAAACTCCACCACGGCCAGCCAGGGTGCTTCTGCAAAAGCACATGGTCATTAGCAGATGGTCCATACAAAACCCAAATAGATTATGTAATAGGTAACAGAAGATGGAGAAGCTCCTTTCTTGTGGCAAAACTGAGACCAGAGGCAGAGTGTGGCACAGATAACGAACTATTAATATCCAATATTAGAATAAAGGTGAAGAAGAACACCAAAACAATCACCATGCCAAAATATGATCTAAAGAACATCCCAACAGCATTTAAAGACAATGAGAGAAATAGATTCATACTATTAAGCCTAGTTGATCAGGAATCAGAAGAATTATGGACAGAAGTCAAGGACATATTCAAAGAGGAATGCAGAAAGATGATACCAGTGGCCAAAAAGAAATAGAAATAATGCATGACATATGAAACACGTCAAAGCAGTTAAAGAAGAGAAGCAAAAGGAAAAGGAGACAGAAACATAATCAGAGCCCTGAATGCTACTATTCAATGATTAGTGCCTAAGGGTAAAGAGAACTATTGCAACCATCAATGCAGAGAAATAGAAGCCAACAACAAAAAAGGAAAAACAAGAGACCTATTTCCCAAGATCCAAGAATTCAAAGAGAAATTTAAACCAAGGGTGAGGGTGATCTACAATCAGAAGAGGAACACAGTACACAACCACAATGATAGAAAGAAAGATGGAAAAAGTACACAGAAGAGCTATATAAAAAATGTGAAAGGAGGAATGATACATGGGGGGGGGGAACCCACAAAAATGAACTCCAAAGTTTGGAAAGTGAAGCAAAAGCTACACTGAAAGTAATTGAAAAGAACAAATCACCAGGAATAGATGACATATCAACAGAACTGCTACAAACAGCAGAGACAGAATCAAACTTAGTTTTAACTAAAATTTGCCAACAAATATGGAAAACAAA